CGATGCGGCGACCTGGTGCGCTATGGCATGTCGCGTGCTGGTGGGCGGATTCGAGTTTTGACCTGCTCTCTAAGCTCTGTCGGTCAGTTCTGCCATTGCTTGCTCTGCCTTTTTTTCTGACGGGCGAAGGCTAGTCGCGCAGGACATACGAATAAACCATGATCCCGTCCAAGACTGGAGCTGCATGGCAGTGGAAAGCTGCAGTGGGAGATGTGGTGGTAGCGGGGGCTACAATGGGAACTGCATGGTGTTGGGAAGCTGCGGTGGCAACTGTGGTGGTCGCCAAGCAACGGTGGGAACTGTGGTGGTAGCTGGGCTGCAATGGAATTTGCGGTAGTAGCGGGGGGTCAGTCGGAATTGTGGAGGTAGCGGGGCTGCAGCGGTAAGCGTGGTGGTAGCAGGCACAAAGGTGGCGGTGATGCGCTGTCACGGTGGCTCAAGCTGCTGCGCTGGCACGGTGGCTGAGGCTGCTGCCCGAGCAGGATACCTGCGTTGCTGCGCTGGCACTGTGGCTGACGCCGGAAGAAACGATCTTCGAAATAGTTGCATTTATTCGGAACGTTGAACCTCGATCTTCCAAGACGAGGAGCAGCAGGGGGCCAACTGGAGCTGGAGCACTTAGCCCCTTGCAGAACACCGTGGGGCTTCAGGGGCCAACGTGGCCCAAGAGACCCGCGGTGCCAATGGCCTAGTTCCCTGGAGCGCTGGCCCTTGTGGAGGCCACTGGGCTCGCTTCCTGTGAGTGATCCCTAAAATGGGCAGCGCGTCGCCCTGAGCCTTCCTACGTATGCTGTCGCCTTATTCCCGTGCGAGCACGGGGCCCTTGTTGAGGCCGCTTGGCCCCTGCTAGCAAGCCCTGTCTTAGTCTGCTGGGCTCAGGGCGCCAGAGCGTCCAGGCGCTCGGGCTCAGAGGCATCGCTGGGGCCTGCTCAGAGCGTCCAGGCGCTCGGGCTCAGAGGCATCGCTGGGGCCTGCGCGGAGCGTCCAGGGCCTCGGGCTCAGAGGCATCGCTGGGGCCTGCGCAGAACGTCCAGGTCCTCGGGCTCAGAGGCATCGCTGGGGCCTGCGCAAAGAGTTCAGGCGCTCGGGCTCCAGAGCGCCCACGTGCTCTGGATCACTTTTCAGAGCGTCCGCGCGCCCTGGAGCACTTTTGAGAGCGCCCACTTGCTCTGGGGCATTTTTCAGAGCGCCCAATTGCTCTGGGGCAGTTTTCAGAGCGCCCACTTGCTCTGGAGCACTTTGCGGAACGCCCAAACACGCACGGCCATTCTGAGCTGGTTGTAAAGTGGTCCGTTCTGGTTGTAAAGTGGCCCGTTCTGGTTGTAAAGTGGCCCGTTCTGGTTGTAAAGTGGTCCGTTCTGGTTGTAAAGTGGGCCGTTCTGGTTGCAAAGTGGACGTTCTCGATGAAAAACCATACTTTCCAATCCTATGTTGGTTGTAAAGTAACCCATCTGGTTGTAAAGTGGTTGTTCTGGTTGTAAAGAGACCGAATCTCGTCGCTACCCCCCCCCCCCCTCCCGGCGGGGGAGGGATGAAAGGGAAGGGGCTTCCCTTCGACTCAATTACGAGGTTGCTCAAGGTCGGCTTGGCTGGAGCCCAGGGGAAGAGGAGTCCCAGGGGGGGCTCTTGGGGGGGGGCTCGTATCTGACCCGGGGGGTCGCTACAACCCCACCCCCCTATCCGGCGGGGGAGGGATCAAAGAAGGGCTTCCCTTCGACTCAATAACGAGGTTGCGCAAGGTCGCTTGGCTGAGCCCCAGGGAAGGGGAGTCCAAGGGGGCGTCGTATCTGACCCGGGGGGTCGCTACCCCCCACCCCCTCCGGGGCGGGGGGGGGGGGGGGGGGGGGGGGGGGGGGGGGGGGGGGGGGGGGGGGAAGGGATCAAAGGAAGGGCGGCCTTCGGCTCAATTACGAGGTTGCTCAAGGTCGGCTTGGCTGGAGCCCAGGGGAAGAGGAGTCCCAGGGGGGGGCGTCGTATCTGACCCGGGGGGGGGGTCGCTACCCCCCCCCCTCCCGGCGGGGGAGGGATCAAAGGGAAGGGGCTTCCCTTCGACTCAATTACGAGGTTGCTCAAGGTCGGCTTGGCTGGAGCCCAGGGGAAGAGGTCTCCCAGGGAAAGGGAAGGACAGAGACGACGAGTACAAAGAATGACGGAGATGACGGCTCGAACGGAAAAGCCCCTCACACACGCCGACAGGGTCGGCGGATTTATCGTTCCTTAGGTCAGGCCGATGACTGTATGTGCTTCGTTGTTTCAGGCGTGCAGTGCTTCCTGAGACAGACTGCCATATGTCATCAGGGTGTTCTGCCGCAGCCCGAGGGCATCCAGGGCCCTCGGGCCATCGCGATGGCTGTTCGATGCGTATGGGGATTTTTTTTTCCCAGGTGCAAAAGGGTGTGCCGTGCCCCAGAGTGCCAAGACATCGTGATGACGAGTATGCTGGCGATGGCAATGCTGGTGCTGATGCTGAGGCTGTTGGTGACTCGGATGACGATGACGACGACGGCGAATGACGATGGTACTGGTAATGATGATGACGACGATGATGAGAATGAGGGTGGTGATAATTATACGAATTATGGCGTTGATGTTGTCGATGATAATGATGATGGTGATGCTGATACTGATGATGATGATGATGATGCTGGTGATGATTATGATAGCAATGCTGATGGCCAGGGTGTTGATGTTGATGATGCTGCTGCTGATGCTGATGAAGCTGATGATGATGATGAGGATGATGATGATGATGATGATGATGATGGTGATGATGATGATGATGATGATGATGATGATGATGCTGATGAGGAGGATGAGGATGAGGAGGAGGAGGAGGAAGATGAGAAGGAGGAGGAAGAGATTGGGGTAGGAGGACGGGGAGGAGGAGGAAGAGGAAGATAATGGAGGAGGAGGAGGAGGAGGAGGAGGAGGAGGAGGAGGAATATGAGTAGGAGGGGGAGGCTTCGCCCCGTCAACGTGTTCTCTGCCCGTCTTGGGGGCCACGCCCTCCACAGAAACAGGACCAGGACCTCTGTGCGTCGAGCATCCGACGTTGCGAACGCTTGCGAAATCGTTTTCGAAATCACGACCAGACCCGTGGATCCCATCCTTTTGCGACCGCTTCCAAGCCAGATCGACCCGTGAGGGCCCTGGGGGAGGAGGAGGAGGAGGAGGAGGAGGAGGAGGAGGAGGAGGAGGAGGAGGAGGAGGAGGAGGAGGAGGAGCCCGACGCCAGGCAAGCTCGTCCGTTCCGGAGAGAATGCGAAGCCGGGATCTCATGGTGGTCGCTCGCTTTCGACCCTGACATCCGCCGATCTGACTTTTCTGACGAGCCAACAACACACACACACCCATACCCACAGGGGGATCCGAGAGGGCCATGGGTGCGTGTTGTCGGATGGGGGTCCCCGCTCGAAAGGGAGCGTTCCCCAGGGCCCGGCAACCCGCACCCATACCCATAGCCAGTCCTCCTCCCAACGACCTCCCTATGGGTATGGGTGTGTGTGTGTGTTGTTCGTTCGTCATTTTCGGTTCGCGTCCCCCGAGGTCCCGACCCCGCCCCCAGAGGGTGCAGTTCTCCGTCCCGGGTCCCCTCGTGATGGCCCGGGGGCCCGGTGACGGCCCCCCGGGGCCGAGAGCGAGGGAAGCACGCGCGGAGTGACAGAGTCGTATCGTCGGAGGTCCTGGGGCGGATGCCCCAGGGGAGCGAAGGATGACATAAACGTACGAACTCGGAGGTCTGCGCGGGCTTCTCGGATCGGCGCTGGACCCCCCTCCCTGGCGCGCGGGGCGCGCCAGGCGCGGCGCCGGAGGCGGGCGCCGCCAGGGGGGGGTGTCCAGCGCCGATCCGAGAAATCCGCGCGGACCTCCGAGCTTCTATGCTTGTGTCTTACCCTTCGCTCCCCTAGGACATCCGCCCCAGGACCTCCGACGATATGACTCTGTCATTCCTCGAAATCTGCGCGGACCTCCGAGTTCGTGTGTTGATGTCGTTCTCCGCTCCCCCCTGTCCGCCTCCGTGCCGCCTCCGCTCGCCGTGGAGCGCCGGAGATGTGCCGGCGGCGGCTCGCGCGGCGGCGGCGGGCTTCTCCCGCGGGCTCCTCGCGCGCGCGCGGCAAGGTCGCGCGGCGCCGGGTGGGCGCGAGCTTTTTCGTTCCGCGCTTCAGCGCCTCCTTCTCATCCTCGTGCTTCTGCTGTTCTTGCTCCTCCTTCTCCTCCTCCTCCTCCTCCTCCTCCTCCTCCTCCTCTCCTCCCCTTGCTCCTCGCTCCGCCTCCTCTTTCCTCCTCCTCCTCCTCCTCCTCCTCCTCCTCCCTTCTCATCGTCCTCATCCTCCTCCTCTTCTTCCTCCTCCTCCAGCCGTTCTGGCCCATGCGGCTGTGGTTTTGCAGCTGCGAACTTCAGAGCCGCGCGCCGCAGTTGTGAGCCACTCGGTACGGCCTTTGAACCATTTCCTTTTTGCCATGGGTTAGCCGCGGATAGAAAACGGCCATGTACATGCGCCCCATGCGAATGGGATGGAGCGTGCAAGACCATGGTGCTCTCACGGAGGACATGGGGGAGACCTCAAGGCTACTCTCAGTCGCGATGTTGAGGTTCTGGCTCAAAAAGGCTTTACTTCGGCAGCTGGATTGAGAGTCATATTTGAAGCTGTGTGCAAGAGATCACGTTTGTGGCGTGTTGCTCATGTACCAACCTGCCACGGCCCCAGCCGACCTCCCGCCGGAGTGGTTTGGGGCCCCCCCCCCCCCCCCCGAGATTTCGGGATATTGCAGATTGTGCTTCGATCTGGTTTCGGTGGCCTTCAGATTATCCAAGTTCCCCCAGTCCGGGAAGGGCTGCGTGTGAGCCTGGGCTTGCAACGCCATCTGGGCAAAATCCATGGCGCTCAGGTGTGGTTGCCAGCTTAGTGCTTTGTGCCCATTGTGCAGAGCTAAGGTAGACAGCTTGTTTAACAGGTTATGGCAACGCCAGTGCGTGGTTACATAAGCGTCGTGGGCTGGTTGCTGCTTATGCCGTTGATGAGCCCTGGGAGCCACAGCTGCTGGAGATGAGGGCTGGATCCGCTGTCTTATGGGCGCCTTCCTTGGCCCAGCGGACGAAGCCCCCCCGCCCCAGTGACCCGGCAACGCGTGGATGGTGTGCAGGTGGAGGCCGTCGAAACAGGGTTCCCGGCGTCGGGCCCGCCGTTCCCTTGGGCCCCCCCGGGTCTATCTCGAAGGCAGTCTTGTGCCAGATGGCTCCTGCGACAGGTCTAAAAAGTCCACGAGCCCTCGAGAGCTGGATGGGGACTCGTGCCGGTCTCCACGAGGGGCCATCTTCTCAGCCGTTTCTCTGGGCCAGCATGGGCCCGCCTTCCCCAGACCTCTCAGTGCGCGGAGCTTTATTAACTTTAGTGGCTGCAGGGGTTACCCTGAAGGGTTTCTCCGAAGGGCTTAGGCGACCCCTCCTCCTCCTCCTCCTCCTCCTCCTCCTCCTCCTCCTCCCTCTTCCTCCTCCTCCTCCTCCTCCCTCCTCCTCCTCCTCCTCCTCCTCCTCCTCCTCCTCCTCCTCCTCCTCCCCGGGTCGCCTACGGCCCCGGGGTAAACCGTGCAGGTCAACCTGGATGGGCCCGCCACCATGTCTTCGGATGGCGCTTCTGTGGCCTCTGTGTGCCCCCAGCCGGCCTCTGGCCCCCAGTCCGGACATCTGCCCTGTGCGGGCCTGGCCATGGAGGCCTTTGCCGGCGCGGGCTCCCGCCTCGTCGAAGTCGCAAAGGTCGCGGCTCGCACATCTCGAGACGAAGTCGGGGTCGCGGCCCAAGACGCCCTCCGCAGGAAAGCTCGTCGCTGTGCTCCCGAGGCGGCCAGGACAGGTGCGGCTCTGCGCCTGGCGGCCGATCTGATGGCGCCGGGCCAGGTGGATCGCTGCCTCGGAGTTGCTCTGGTGTGCCTCCCTGCTGGCCGCGAGGCTCTTTCCTTCTGTGGCCGCGGCCAGATTATCTCCAGCGCCATCCACGTGAAGCCCTTAGCCAAGCCGCGTGGCAGCCTCCCTTTGGTGCGCGACTGGGCTTGGCAGGGAGATCTTTGGCAACGCAAGGTCTGTTTCAGGCGTGCCCGCGCCGACGCGCTTTCGCCCCCCCCCCCCCCCCCCCCCAATGTCTACGTACGCTGCGAGTCTCGACCCAGGTCGATGCCTTGGATTGCCACAGCTAACGCCCTCCCTGCTCGAATCACGTGGTCACTGGTGTGCGTTGGTGGAGTGTTCGGATGGCTCGTTCCTGTGACTTCGCTTCCTGTGCCACTACGTCAGCGCTGTCAGTGGAGTCATAGCGCGCCAGCGAGAAGTGAAACGGATTTGGACAACTTGGTGCTGGTCGCACGGCGTGGACATACCCCCTTGCTAGACGGCGCCCACAGGAGAGGCAAAGGTCTAATCATGCTCAGGTTTTACCTTCTCCGTGGACTCGCCCGTTTTGCTGTTGTTGTGGTTGTTGTTGTAAGTGTTGTTGTTGTTGTGGTGTGGTAGGACTGCCGGGAGCATCGGCCTCCTCGCCCCTCTCCTCTCCCATCTGTGGGGGGCCAGCAGAAGCTTGGGAACCGCGTTGAGTTTGAGGTTGGGCCAGGCGGCGTGCCCCCCTCGACGTCGCAGGCGCAGTCAGACGCGGCTGTCTTGTTTTTTTCACCCCCGCTGCAGAGCTGCCAGGTCAAGCCTGGGGACCGCTCCAATCGGCGGCGAGCGAGGGGGGGAAGTGAGAAGGGGCGGGCCTTCTCAGAAGTCTCGGAAGTCCCCGGGCCTTCTGAGAAGTTTCCTAAGCCTTCCCGGAAGACAAGAAAAACTTCTCAGAAGGCGCGAGGGCTTCTGAGAAGTCCCGCCGCCTTCTGAGAAGGCCTTCTCCTTCTCATTTCCCCCCCTCGCCCGCCGCCTATCCAAGCTTGGGTACCAGAGTGCTCCTCAGGGGGAGGAGGACTTGCGCTCGCGCGCCAGCTCGTCTCGGAGTCGTGCTGGACACAGCTGGGCGGATGCCAGGGGTCAGGTCGAGCGTGGGAGCCTGCTGCCGCTGGAGATCTACAGGATGAATGAGGAGGAGGAGGAGGAGGAGGAGGAGGAGGAGGAGGAAGAAGCGGAGGAGGAGGAGGAGGAGGAGGAGGAGGAGGAACATCTGGAGGTGGAGGAGGAGGAACGGGAGGAGGATCAGGATGATGATGCCGCTGATGATGATGCCGATGATGAAGATTATGTTGCTGCATGATAGATGCTGCTGCTTGCTGAAGATGAATGATGGATCTGTTGCTGATGTTTGCTGATGATGCTGCTGCTGGCTACTGTTGTTGTTATTGTTGTTGATGTTATTATTGTATGTTGTGGTGGGGTTGTCGTTGCTTTGTTTGCTGTTGCTGTTGTTGCAGCTGTTGTTGCTGTTTGTTTGTTGTGTGGATGATGATGAGATATGATGATGATTGATGATGATGAGATGATGCTGATTAGAATGATGATGAAGCTGATAGATGAGAATGATGAGATGATGAGACCATGATGATGATGATGATGATGCTGGATGCTGACGATGATGATACGATATTATGCTGATACTTATGCTGCTGCTGATGAGATGAGCTCTAGGCTGATGATGATGTGAATGAGCTGCTGCTTGCTCATGATGATGATGAGGATGATGATGATGATGATGATGATGATGAAGATGATGATGATGATCTAGCTGCTGCTGATGAATGATGAATGATGGGTGAAGATGATGATATGATGATCATGATGCTGATCACGAGGAGGAGGAGAGGAGGACAAGGAGGAGAGGAGGAGGAGGAGAGGAGGAGGAGCAAAACAGGAGCCAGGAGCAGGAACAGGAACAGGATCTGGAGGAGAGGAGGAGGAGGAGGAGGAGGAAGGAAGGAAGGAGGAGGAGGAGATGAGCACTAATATTTCGCGGACTGGAGGAGAGGAGGAAATGAGGCGGAGAGGAGAGGAGGAGGAAGGAGTGACTTTCGCCAACAGGGTAAACCCAAGGTCGGGAGGTAATCATCACGTAGAACGGAGAAGAACATGTGGAGGAGGAGAGAGGAGGAGGAGAGAAGAGGAAGAGGAGCGAGGAGGAGAAGGAAGGAGGAGAGGAGAGGAAGAGGGTGGAGGAGGAGGAGAAGCGAGGAGCAGGAGGAGGAGGAGGAGAGGAGGAGAGGAGGAGGAGGAGGAGGAGGGGGAGGCTTCTCATTTCCTGGCTGGCCCGTCTGGCCCTTCAACTGTGCCTGCTGAGATTTTTTTCATATGCTCGATCTTTCAGTGTTGTGGAGGCCCTCCGTCGTGAAGACGACGAAGGGCCGCTCGTCGCAGCACCTGGCGACTTCAACGGTGAGTCCTCCAATTGGCGGGAGGTTTTCAGGAGGCCCTGACGGGTCCACTCAAGGTGTCGCGCAGTCGGTGCCTCAGAGGTCCTTCCGTGGAAGGGTCAGCAGGTGGTTGCTGTTTCAAACATGTCCTCCTCCTCCTCCTGCTCTTCCTCCTCCTCGTCCTCCTCCTCCTCCCCCTCCTCCTCCTCCGTAGCCATTTTGGCTCAAGATGTCCGATTCCCTCGGGGTCAGAGTGGAGACCTCTGATCCGAGGACAGCAACCGACAGTTTTCAGCTCCAGGGAAGCGCACCCCCCTGGAGTGCCGAGACTGCCCCTGCCGCGGCGTGCGGCTGCGCGAGTTCTGCCACCAGAGTCTGGAGACGGGGTCCAGGGTCACGATGGCGGGCGACGGCGCAGGAACGCTGCTGTTCGGGCCCAAGCGGCCGCATTGGGGGTGCTCCCGCTGCGGCACGGCCAACAACTGGGCCTGTCGCCTGCAGTGCCGATGTGGTGCGCGCGCGCCGCAGCGGGTCATCACGAAGGCTAGACAGGAGGAGAAGAAACTCAAAGCCGCCGACATCTCGAAGGGGCAGCCTCCTTCGCGCGGCGGTGGCAACGGCGGAGGCAGGCTTGACTCGTCACAGCTGGCGCCATGGGCCTCGTCGAAGCTGGAGAACGAGTTGGTGGCGCTGCGCAAGCAGGTCCAGCAGCTCAAGTCGGAGAAGAACAAGGACCCTGCCCCACCTCAGGCAGCCCCCACTGGCGTGTCCGACGCGGCCATGGAGGTTGATGAAGGCTCGGCAGGGGCCAAGGACACGACGGCGACGGCGATGCAGCGGAGTGTCAGAACAAGATCGGTCACTACAGGCAGTTCGTCAAGTCCCTCGC